TATATATATGTAAATTGCCCACTCACGCTCTTAGGGTGGTATCTGTGCAGTATCTTAGCTGTAAAGGACTGCACCCCACTGGACTGAGGCTTCAGATGTTGTTCCTGGAATCTGCCGGAGCCACTTTCCCAGTTTGGGGGTCACTGCCCCAAGTGCTCCTACTACCATGGGTACGACGTCAACTTTGGCCTTCCACATCTGTTCCAGCTGTTCTTTCAACCCTTGATACTTCTCCACCTTTTCCTGTTCCTTCTTTCTGATGTTGTTGTCGGCTGGTATCACCACATCTACCACCACTGCCCTTTTCTGGTGTTTGTCAACCACCACTATGTCTGGTTGGTTATCCAGCAGCTGTTTGTCAGTCTGGAAGCTGAAGTCCCACAGGATCTTAGCCCTGTTGTTCTCAACCACCTTTGATGGTGTGTCCCATTGGGATTTGGGTACTTCGAGTCCATACTGGGTACAGATGTTCCTGTACACTATCCCAGCCACTTGGTTGTGCCTCTCCATGTACGCTGATCCTAGCCTGGTGAAACCATATTCTATTTCGCTCCGCAGATCAGTCTGGCCATGCAATCATAAAGGCGCATTCTGGCATCAGTTAAAGCTTACCGGGCCAGTCACAACCGTTTATTACTTTGGGGCAGGCACGTCATCAGAATAAGAGGGACAAGGAGCGGAGTGAATGCATTTCGTGAATAACCAACATGGCTACTGATTTTGAAACTGCTATGGTAAATGTGCTGAACGAACTGGAATGTACATTTTCTTTAAAAGCAGAACAAACGGCTGCACTGAAAGCTTTTACTGAAAAAAAGGATGTGTTTGCCATCCTTCCTACGGGCTGTCATCACAGCTCATCTCTGCTGCAGCTTGCTGGTCTGTTTACAGTGACGTTGTGCTAGCCTACGTCACACGTGTCATTTACTTTGATTGTTTTTCCGTCTTTCCATTTGTGTGAAGGGGCACTTTGAGTGACAGCCGTTGATACCGCCCCTCGTGAATAGAGGAAATGTACACTCCGTGTCCAGACCCATTCGCGTTTTGCAAATTGGGTCTGGCAACCCCAGGCTACACTGATCCTGCCTGCATCTCACATCCTGCCACTATGTTGGTCTATACATAATAATATATACATACATATATATATATATATATATATACATATATAATTATTATTATCATTATCATTATTATTAGTGGTGTGACAGGGACAGGTAAATCAAAGGCCTGGAGGGAGGTAGTGGATGCTGTTAACTCTGCGTCCTCTGTTGTAAGAACTGTCCATGAAATTAAATGGTTTGATATGAAACTTCATGCAAAAATAACACACAATAAGAACACATAGCTACAGGAGGGGGCTCATCTCAGCTCTCTGCTGCAGATGGTCACATTGCTTGCATCATCAGAGAGACCTCTCTGTCAAGGGCGACAGCGACATGCCTCCACTGAAGCAGTCAACAGCAAACTTAGAAGGGAAGGTGATGTACATGTTATATTAAGTGTTAAATCATGATACATTCTGACAGCCATCACTGATAGCTTAGTGTTTGGTCCGTACCGTGAGTCTCACAGTCTCGCTACTCAAACAGAAGATAAATTTGTGGAATTCTCTCTCTTGATTGTTTCAAGTAGAAACAGGGTGGCAGAAATGTAGAAAACACATGTATTAAGTCAATTTAAATGACCCATTCACATTTTTAAGAAACCTAATCTGAAGCTTAAATCTGCTAAATGCCAACTAGTTTAGCTAAATGTGTTATATTAATCCTTTGTCATGTTTAACTTATGTGTTTCAAAGGCATCTGCATATTGTGAACAGACAGCACAATATGAATTAAAATTGTAATTTCTAATAAAGCCAAGCAATATTTATGTGCATTCCTTATTTATACACAAGCACTATGAGCAGTCAGAAGCAGGTGTGATTTTGTAAGTACCTACGAAAAGATCAGAGCTATTAACATATTGATGAATTAATTTCCTTTAGCCAGCAGTTTACACACAAATTTGTTCAGCTCAAGTTTCATGAATGAGACCTATTGAGAATATAAACATACATACAAAAGACCTGAAACAAAACAACAACCATAATCATCAATAAACTTAAGGAAATTTAATTGATAGAGTCTTTTAAAGCTAACTAAATCTGCCAAAGCAGCCCTTAATACCAACTAAAGCCAGGCTAACACTGGCATAAAGCAGCAGCTGTTTCTGTTCTCTTACATCTTGATCTGTAATAAATTTAGTTTGGCTGCCTGCCAGATGCAATTTGAATATGTTTTCTGTTAGGACGGTTTGTGATTTCCATAGATAGAGAAGGAAGGAGACGGATGTGACTGGAGAGAGAAGGAGGGCAACATGCTGTTTACCCAATTCATATCTGTCCTCTTCTTCACTGTTTGTTTCAACCATATTACTAGCAGTTTTTTGCTATTGCTAACATTTTAAAATAGTGTTACTCCACATTTTAGAGGCTGCCAAGTACTGCAGATGTATGTGTGATCCAGTAACACCCACTGTAGTAAAGATCCTTTTCATGAAGTGTTCACTGTGTATATTCAAGATAAGTTCCTATAGCCTGAATGGAAACTGGGTGGTGACTGTTGCTATTCTTTCTACCAATAGAAACACACTTGTGAGACGCGGCCTGCAGTTTGAATCAGTGACGTTTGAGGGTCTGAGTCAGCTGCTGTCCTGCATTTGTTCCTTCTTCTGGTTCAATCTGGTCTGCTGATTAGTTCATGTGCTGCTGGAAACACAGAAATATAGCTTCCCATGAGTGGAACTTAGTGTGATGTGAACTACTATGAAGTGAAATTACATATAAATAGATTTTTTAATAAATGCAGTGATTCATGCTTTTCATAAATAAATGTGCTCAATGAAAGCTTTTGTGGTCTCATCACAAGAAGCCCCCTCATGTTTGAAGTTTGTAAGTTCTATGTGTATTTTCGGAGGTCTTCTCTCTCAGGTTAGTGCTAATTTGCTTGTGTAAAAAAGAAAAGACATGAATAAACATGATCACAAATAACTGACATTTTTGTATTTTACTCTTTTTAGGAGGGAGCTAAATTGTACAATAACAGATGTTTACATAGCTAGTAGCTCTGACAACTTGAAGGCACAAAACAAAACTCAAACACAAGCAAGCAAGCAAACAAACAAAAAAAACATGAGGAAACCAAATGATGGTTTCCAGCTGAACCTTCCCTGTTGGATATGAATATTTAGTAAAGCATTTTATATGCTTAATAGCATAGGCTATTATTCATTTGTCAGCACAAACACACAGTGGTGTGTCATCTTTGCAGTATATTATTGTAAAATGACAGGTGTATACTGTGATCTCACAGTCGTTATACCTGCATATTACGGTGATTTAGCAGTGTGCTTCTGTAAAATTACTAAACTTACCACAGTCAAAGCTCATTACATCACAGTCATGTTACAGTAGTGTGTGCCCTCAGCACCTTTGTTTCATTCTTTAAATTCTTTATTTAGTTGTAATTTTTTTTATTACATTTGAAACGCATTGTACTGTGTTTAATCCGTTTCTGTGGGAAGTTGCAAATCTCCCTGTACACTGAAAGTTGCATTTCTGCTGTAAAGTGGGGTAGTTGTATAGTTTACAAGGAGCCATTGAAGGCAGCATGACAGGCTGTGTTGACTCCCGCCCCCAGTGGCCTCGGCTCCACTTCCTGTCTGCTATAACTTCACTATTCATCATAACCAACACAGCAGGGTAGCGTTCGCACAGCGGCTGATAACGCCTGATGAACACAAAGCTGTAAGTGTTTCAATTCTTACAAAGCCGTATATCTGCACCGGTGTTCAGCTAGCTAAAAGATACCAAGCCTTCTTCTACCTACAAACGTAGTGACTCTCTGTAGCCTGTCGTGCTTTCGCTAACGTTAGTTCTTCATTAGAGTAACGTTAGTGTAAGTTACTGTAATGAGCTGCGGAGATCCAACGTTACGTCTTAACCGTTCAGGTTTGTTGTGTTTTGTGGCCGGGGATATTACCGTAAACCAGTGCGGTGCTAACGTTGAGTCTTCACTTCTAAATTAGCTTAGCGTATAGGTCGTAAATACCATACTGAAGTTCTGAGCATAAACAGGACTGTAAATATACACAAGCGTCCTTGAATTAACAACCGAGCACGGTAACCGCAGTTAGTATGACACGCAGACAGGCAGAGTGAATATTAACGCCGTCAGTGGCACGTGTGAGTCAACTGGATTAAAGTTACTGTTAATGCGAGTTTGCTGCACGAGCTGTCAAACTGAGGGAGGAGGGGCTTCACTGTCCACAAACACGCTGGCGCGGTGAGTTTAACCAACAACTAACTTTACTCTCGTCAAATGGACAGCACTGTGAGCTAGTGTGGTGCGTGTTTACTTCTTCTGTTAAAACAGATGTTAGATGTAAGATAAAGTAACCCATAGCATGTATGCTATGAGTTTGTTGAAACTGAAGAGAAAGAGTAAGAAAGTGGTGTGGTAACTGAAGTAAGTACAAATTATACACCTGTACTAATTACTAACAAGTGCGCCTTAGATGCTGACATATCCCAAGCACATTTAGATTACAGGATGTTTTTAAAAAGTCATTGTTAATTAATGTGTATTGTGCCCTTCATAGATTCCCTAAACAGCATTGAATTCACTAATCTAAAAATAAGGCCTTAATTGGTATTAAAATGTCTTAAATAAGTCTTTCAAATGTCTCCAAAATGCTAAGACATGGAAAGTAGGGTTTTATGAATCTTTGTTTTTGGACACTGCATTGCAAAAAAAAAAAACCAATTATTAACCACTGACACAGTATTTAAAAAATTTTGAATACTGTGTCAGTGGTTAATAATTGGTATTTTTTTCTAATAATTTACTAAATGCTTCTCACATTATTGTTACACAGGTCAGGATAGCAGAAACAACAACACACTTATTTCATTTGCAGCTGGATGCTTGGAGCACAGCTTCCACCGTTTGCTAGCTAGCTGTCACTGTACCCTGGATGACAGAGGGAAATGCAGATTCAGTGAAAACTGGCCATATGACCAAGATTTCATGGTGTGGCTGAAACCGAATCAATGCAATTTAGGGATACATCATATCTGATTTTGTGCAGGTATCTGATATGCCGATATGTAACAACTCATTAGACTGATACTGATGTTTATATATATTCACTTTTTCCCTACCTAATTTTAGTGATTATCAAGTCTCTCCTGTAGTGGAATTAACATCATATGCATGCACACTGTTATTGTGATGGCCCAGCAGCAGAAGAAGACAGATGCTCCTGATTGTGCAATATAAGAAAAAAAGATGTTGGCCGGTTCTGATAGTTCATTTTAAAGCCAGTATTTTTATTATTCTAGTTGGTTACAAAAGGTTTAATTTGTATTTGCAATAGGTGTGCATGATATTGGACTTTTTGCCAATAGCCGATATGCAGATATATTACTGATATCGATATATCCACTTTATTTCCCACCTAATTTTAGTATTCCTCAAGTCTCTTCTTATTATACATGCATACCATACCACCAGCACATGGAGACATGAAATAGAATGCTTTTTAGTGATTGTAATATTCATTGATTGTGCAAAATAAGAAAAAGCATGTTGGCCAATTCTAACAGTTAATTCTAAAGCCGATAATGGCCAATAGCAATGACGTGTCGATATCATCATGCATTACTAATTTGCAATATTTTTAATTTATATAATAAAAAAATCAGTACTATGCATTGCGTATCCATAAGATATTGCCAGGCAAAAATATTGCATTACTATGTTCTATCAATGATTTTCCCCTACCCCTACTAACTAAGTGATGTTGGTTCGTGTTTTATTTTTCCTTCAATTTTGGTTGTTGGAAGATTGGTCTTAAATTTAATTCTGAGTGATGTTTGTAAGTCTTAAAAAGTCTCAAATGTAACTTGCCTTAAGCTGTAAGAACCCTGCCTCCAACCAAATATGATGATAGTAATCAATTAAACAGAAACATTTGAACTATGAATTCCAAAAGAGAAAATAAATAAATAAATAAATAAATAAATAATAATGCTTGTTTTCCAATACATTCAGCTGTCAGATAACATTCTATTAATAATGACAAAATTCTATTAAAAATGAAGACATTAGAAAAAGAAATTAAAGGTAAAACAACTGCAGTCAAGCTCCTTATAAGTATTAGCATGAGAAACTTTGATCTGATAAGTATAAAGAAATACTTCTCTCATAAGTCAGGGAGGACAGGGAGTTCCAAATATCACCAAGTTTCACGAGTTTGAAACAAAAAAAGCAGATATTTGGTAGAAGGAATGTTGTGGTGGGGAGAAATGAGTCATGCAGGAAACTGGCCCATGCCGCCTGCATTTTATTTTCCCTCTAAGAAATGATGTGGTGCCTCTTTGTGCTCCTGCAGTGCCAGGACTCCTCCCTCCCATACATTTTACTGCAGACGGTTGACTACATCTGCCAGTTATATCCTCTCAGAGCTTTTCCTTCCAGCAGATTCTCCTGAGGACAAACAGAGTTTCTGCACAATGCCTCACTAATCTTAATACTGTTGACAGGAAAAAAAGTCCTATTCTTGTTCATGCCATGTCATTGAGGTGTTGCTTCAACACTACACCTCAGCTTAGTGGATCCAAATCTGTGCAGTAGATTTGCATGACCAGATACAAAATGTGTGCCTGCTGGTTTTGATCATACAAACTGTGGTATATACCTTATCTATGGTATGTCTCTCGTTTCTTAAATTCATTTAAAGAGATATTTGAGCAGTTTAGAATTGTGCTTCCAGAGAGACTCACAAGAGAGAAGAGACACGAGAATGGTCAAAGTGGAGGAAACAGAAGCATAGATATTCTGACTTTTAGTCCCTGGACAAGCTCTACTAAACTGGATCCTACCTTTCCCATGATGCAACCAATATCAACCATTTGTTAGTCCCTGCATATTGTGTGCTGACGTGTTAATTATTGTTTTTGCATTTGCATTTTCTTTCTAGTTTTATATTATTTTATATATTTAATATTCACTTCTGACACCACCAAATACGACAACTCGTTTGGCCTTCACCTCCTGCAGAAGTACCTGCTCTTTGAAAACAAAAGTTTTTTGTATGGTTGGAGCCCAGTGCTCCACCCTCTTCAGACTTTTGTTTGGGCATTCTTGACTCAATTGTTTCAAATTCTTCTTCCTCTTCAATTTTTGTGTGTGCACACGGCCCTGCAGTCTCATGCCCTTTTATGGGAATTCACAGGGCGTTTACCTGCAGTAATTATGATCAACCGGCAGGCACTGTCAACTTACAGAGACAGTGGGTTTCATCATTATAAGAACACAGGTGCAAACAATTCTGCCATTGAAGAACATCTCATGAATCAGATGTAGACTTTTCGTTCAATCTTTTTTAACAAATTAAAGAAAAAACTTAAGATATTGATAAAGCTATGTAGCTCTTAAGAACTCCAGTTGTTATTGTGTCTGCATCGCAAAAACTAGGACAGTACTACCTCAGTGAAGGAGCTCTCCCAGGACAAAAGGAACGTTGAGTGACGTATGTGTACAGTGCTTGTTCAAATGCAGCCAATGCAGCACCAGCAACTTTCATTTTTAAAAACACATTAGCTGTGTAAACCACAGAACACAAAACACAAACTAGGGCTGGACATATGGAGAAAATTTCATATCTCGATATTTATGCCAGATATCTCGATACCGATACGATACGATATGACTATGGGTTCAGTGAAAACTAAGCATTCTTTATAAAAAATTAAAAAAAAAAAACGACTCCGAACCGTTTTCTGGAAGCCGTCTTTAGTGACTGAATACACGGGAATCATGTGTAGCAATATGGTACGTTATAGCATTTGTAATGTCTTTGTGCCTGCTGGACGTCGATTGGTATGGCATTATGTTACTGAATGCATCGGCAATCCGACCTTGCTTGGGCTTGACACAGGAGGACCCAGATGTGCCTGCCGTGTCTTTTAATGCAAGGCACTGTTCATACAGTCCTTGGTAGTGTTGTCACGGTACCAAAATTGGGACCCATGGTACAATACCAGTGAAAGTATCACGGTTCTGAGTAGTATCAGGATACCACAGCAAAAATGAGGCAGATGTGCCTTTTGTCATTTATAAAAAGATAAATCACTTTTCTATAATACATCAATGATATTTCAATGGAATAAATTACTTACTGACTTATTCATACTTCAAAAACATCAATCAGTGATTAACATAGGGGGGATCAAAATTTAAAAAAAAAAAAAAAATAAAAATCAACCAGCCTCCCCTGACAAGTAAAGAACAGTCCCTTCATAAGTAAAGAACAGTCCCTAAAGTGCGGTGAGGTTTGTGGAAATGTTAACGGCTCGTTTCTCCTCTGACACGTCACATACCTGTGTGCCGCTACGGCTTGGCTGTTCAGGTACTACTGGGCAGTCATGACACCAACTTATTCACCTGGAGCCGGGCTTCTCGGTCGCCGGTAGCCTCGCGTCACCAGTCTCTTCACGTACGGCGAAACGCCGGTAAACCACGTTATCTTGCGGCGGCCATAGCGCTCCGCCGTATGCCCGTCTGTGACCCCCGTTCAACCCACAACCGGTAAGTTTCGCCTTTTGTTTCTGCTGCTGGTTGAAATCTGTACTCACACAGCGTGCTGAATGATTTAATTTGCTCAAACAAAACTATTTTTAGTCGCAAATGTGTTGTGTGTACTAGCAAGTTGCTAGCAGCAGCACGTCTCCCTCGCTCAAGGGGATGTTTGTGATTGGCTGGCTTTGTTGTCGATCCAAGGCAAGCAGGAAATGAGGTTTGTGATTGGCTGGCCGTAGCTGTACATTTAGGGCAAGCGTAAAAAGGATGTTTGTGATTGGCTGAGCTGTACATGCAGGTCAGGCTGGGGAAACTCATGGGGAAATTATATTGTCAATATCGTTGCCTTTTGGGATATTAATATCTTGCATGTTCATATCTCGGTATAGATATGATAACGATATATCGTTCAGCCCTAACACAAACAACAGCTGGTAATGGGAATTATAATACATATATATATTATTGGCACGTCATCTTTATTGGCCAAATGAATGAGGTCAGAATCAGCCAACATGATTTTTCTCGTCTTGCACAATGAATGAATATTACATACATTGAAAAGCATTCTATTTCATGTCTCCATCTGTAGAGTATGTATGCATGCATAACATGATTTTTATTCCACTACAGAAGAGACTTCTTTTAGGTAGGGAATAAGGTGGATATATTGATATTGGTATTGGTTATTGGCTGAATAACTTGTTATATATTGACACATTGGATATCGGCAAAAAATCCAATATCATGCATCCCTAAAAAACAAAGGAAGAAAACGTGGACAAATGAACAGATGGTGAAGTCCAGGCTATACTGAGCATATGTGTGGCAGGGGAAATGCAACGTGATTTTGACTTGTCAGAGTCAAAGTAACAGTGTTATACAAACCACTGGCTGGCTTACATCACTTCAGAGCAAATGTAAACAGAAAAAAGCCCTTGAAGCTGTTTCATTCTTGAGGGAGCTCCTCAGTGGGCAGATCATTTCAGGGAATCCTCAGAACTGTTTTGATCAAAAACGCCTATAGAGTCTGACTACTGTTCTTCTTTTCAGGCCTGGGACTGATCATGACACAGCAGGAGCAGCAGGAGTTCACAGAGAGCCTGGAGGCGGCCCTCTCCTGGATGCGGGCCATCCAGGAGAGGCTGAAGGCCAATGACAATACCCAGGGGCCCCGTGATGCCCTGGAGGGCCGACTCAGGGAAACAGAGGTGAGATACTTCTTTAGCCTCTTTCCCGCTTGACAACAAACCCACTAACATCAGCTAACCCTGACTTTTGTTTATAGTGGTAAAGGTTACAATTGGCATTCATTACGAGGATAAATTACTATGCAGTAGTCACAGGTATCTATCTGCTTCAGCTCTGATTAGATCTTATCAGCAGTGATGAAAAAACAACACCTGGTTGAATTTGCTAATTTTAGCCCCTTTTTCAGGACAATGCAAACATTTAGTTGGCATGGCATTTGACAGAGACTGAACACGTAATAGATATAAAAAAGGCCTCCATGCTTTCTGCTGTCTACTAACCTGTTTTCCAGTGCGTTGATGACATTGAAGGTGACACACCAGAAAAAAAGGCATACTCGCCTACAGCTAGCAGTGGAAAAGCAGTTGTATCACCTGTTTTAAATGGGTTTTCCCGTGTTTAAAGGAGCTACATACATGTGCTAATTTTGGTGGAAAGGGGTAGTCCTGTTTGACCCTTCACTTCTGACCCCTGCTACTACTTTGGTCATTGGAATCAAGAGTGTGGACACCTGCAGTTTGTAGTCTGAGCAGGGCTCAGTATCTGAGGAGCCTTTATTTGTAACCAATATGTTTACATTTTAGTAGATATGAAAAAAATAAAGCAAGAAATCATGGACAAAGACATGTGAATAAAACACACCTTAGTGTAATAATACAGACTACCTTCAGCAAACAAGTATCTAAAGAGCCTGAAAGACTCTTGATATTTTACATAAATAAATGAGTTTTAGAAATTAAAAAAGGATGTGTGTAAGGCTTTTCTAGTCTTAGCAACACACACACAACACAGGCATTATTCACCCATTCACACCCATTAATGCACTGGTGGCCGAGGCTACCATACAGTGTGCCACCTGCTTATTAGATAAAAATTCACATACACTCATACACCATTGTGAACAATCTGGGATTCATTATCTTGCCCAAGAAAACTTTGACATGCAGGGGCCCGGGATCGAACATAAACTTCCAATTGGTAGATGACCACTTTACCTCCTGAGCCACAGTAGCCCATGACATTATAGTTTCTTGGATATGGCATGTTCAAGTGTTCAGTTTAAAATATTGTTAATATCAATATTATTGGAAGTTCTCAAAAAAAGTAATCCATCCATCCATCCATTTTCATAACTGCTTATCCTCTTGAGGGTCGCGGGGGGCTGGAGCCTATCCCAGCTGACGCTGGGCGAGAAGCAGGGTACACCCTGGACAGGTCGCCAGACTATCGCAGGGCCAACACATAGAGACAGAAAACCATTCACACTCACACCTACAGACAATTTAGAGTCACCAATTAACCTTTCCCCAACCTGCATGTCTTTGGACTGTGAGAGGAAGTCGGAGTACCTGGAGAAAACCCACAGTGACATGGGGAGAGCAAACGCCATGCATAAGGGTTTCCTCCTGGGATCGAACTAGGAACCCTCTTGCTGTGAGGCGACAGTGCTAACCACACTCAGGGCTTGAGAGAGATGCTTTGTACCAAAATTTCTGTGGACCAAGCTTATCAAAAGTTATCAAAAAACTTGATATCTCACTGCATTTTGAGGATGTTTGATAAATGAATTGAGAAGGGGCTTGACTGAGCACATTATTAGACCTAACTCCACAACACTTGAGCCAATCATCACGAAACTTGTAGAATATGTCTACATCAGTACCTTAAAGGGATAGTGCACCGAAAAATGAAAATTCAGCCATTATCTACTCACCCATATGCCAATGGAGGCTCAGGTGAAGTTCTCACAACACTTGCGGAGATCCAAGGGGAGAGGGGGTAGCAACACAGCTCCACCTAATGGAGGCTGACAGTGCCTCAGACGTCCAAAAACACATAATTGAAACCACAAAATATCTCCAAACTGCTCGCCTGTAGTGATCCAAGTGTTCTGACACCCCGACATAAAAAGCTGTTATGTGTTTTTGGACGTTTGAATCTGGGGCGCAGTAAGCCTCCATTAGGTGGAGTTGTGTTGCTACCCCCTCTCCCCTTGGATCTCCGCAAGTGTTGTGAGGACTCTAAAACGTCACCTGAGCCTCCATCGGCATATGGGTGAGTCGATAATGGCTGAATTTTCATTTTTCGGAAAGATTCATTCAAATTGACCACCTGGGGGAGCTATAAATGCAGAAATGGACGTGGAACAACACAAATAGATTGTAAATCACAAATTGTCCGTCCAATCATTACAACACTTGCAGGACATGATAAATTTTAAACCACATGTGTAAAATTATGTTGAAATTGCTCAATAGGGGGTGTCACCAGTTCTAAACAAGTGCATTGACCTGGCAGTAAATTTGGCCGTAAATCAATGATAGTTTGTTCAAACATCAAAGTTACTGGATATTTTTAACTGAGTTGTTAAAGCACTTCCCCAAAATGTCTCTGCAATAGGGAGCGCGGAGGTGTATATGTTAATGAATGAGCATCTGTTTGATTGTCGTAAAACCTGTTGTTTATCTTAATGCAGGCCTCATTAACTGTCAAAAGTCTTTATCCTTCCAGCTTTCAAGTTTTTAAGATCCACACTAGCTTGAACCCCAGAATTTCTGCTTCCGGCTATACTTTATTTTATTAATGTTTAATACATAGTACACTATTTCTTCATTTTATACTTACAACAATGTGCTCTTGTGAATGTGTAGAAAATCCATCAGTCGGAGCATGAGGGTCGTGTGAAAATGGACATGGCGCTGGTGGCAGCTGAGAACCTTTTGCAGAGCGGAGACGAAGAGCTGAGGAACCAGACCCACGCTAAGCTCAAAGACCTGAAGAGCCTGTGGGAGGAGACCTGCACTTATATCATCCACTGTCACAGGTGCTGCTCTACCTCCTGCAGACTGCAGGTGTACACTGTGTGTAGTGGTTAGTTTGCCCTAAGGGCAGCTTTGGCTACGTTCAAAGTGAAGCTGTTAATGCTCTGTTTTGAATAGCTTTGGATGTGTGTTTTCAGATCGTTGTTACACACCTGAACCATCAAATATGCACGAAAGCTAAATGCACACAGAGTATTAACAATTTCAAAAGCCTTTAAAACCTGGGTGTGGTATCAACATGTCGGCTACAGTATTCAGCTGAATTTCAGGGCTTCCCCAAATATTATTCAGGTCTTTGTTTGGGGCTCTTTCCATTGTACTGCCTTATGAAGTCAGTTGCAGTTATTTTGGCTTTCAATAGCCCAACACCCTGACTCAGAGTAACCGATAACTGGTTGATTTTAAAGAAAAAAAATAGCAAAATGATGGGAAATACAACAGGCCTATCCTTTCAGTCTGATGCGTCATTGACTCAGTTTGAGCTTTAGCAAAGCAAGGTTATTTATGTAGTACATTTCAGCAACAAGGCAGTTGAAAGTGCTCTACATAAAATGTCAAAAGCATCGAGACAAAATGCAAAAGAAACACATTATAATGCCATTAAAGAGCTAGATAATAGAAAAGAAAATTAAAAACAAGACTGAGACAGGTGTAAAATACAAGAATAAAAGATACATTGCAGTGTTATAAAGGAATAAATACTTTAATAAAAGGCAGCGACAAAAAGAAAAGTCTTTAGCTTAGTCTTGAATCTGGGGACACAAAGCAGACCTCCCAGAAACCCTGAGAGGTCTGGATGGCTTATTGGGTAGCAGAGGGTCAGAAAGGAATTTTGGCCTTAAAACGTTCAGTGCTTAACCAGCAGTAGTATTTTTAAATCAATTCTCTGACAGGCAGAAAGCCAGTGTGATTTGAATTGATTTGATTGTTTAGGGAAACCTGTAAAGTCATCATTACAGTAGTCAAGACTACTGAAGATAAATGCCTGGACAAGTTTTTCCAGATCCTGCTGACACATAGCCCTTTTATACGTGACATGTTTTTAAGGTGAAAGAAGACTGGTTATTAAGTAAGTAATTATCTTAATGTGGCTGTTAAAATTCAAGTCTCAGTCCATGACTACACCAAGACCTCTGGCTTGGTCTGTGGTTGTTAACATTGCCAAATGAAATTGAGTGTGAGCGTGAGTTGACTTGGTTCCAAAAACAATGGCCTGAGTTTTTTCTTTGTTTAACTGAAAAAAGAGGATTGTGGCACATCCAATCATTGATTTGTTCGATGCACTCAGTCAGAGCTTGTGTTGAAGTCCCTTGGTGACACAGTTATGTAAATTTGTGTGTCGTCTGCATAACTATAGTAACATATTTTGTTATTTTTCATGATCTGAGCTAATCTTAGTGCTGCATTTCTAAGTGCTGTCCATTTAGAGGAGGTGAAATTGCAATATTTCGTGACCTTAGTGTCTTCCCTTTTATTTTCTCTTGGCTTTGTTGACCTTCAGCCGGCTAACTGCATTAACATGCAGAAACGTGCCTCTGGTGGTTAGCTAGTCTTGGCCACTCTGCAGTGTCCACCACCTGGGTCAGATAGAAGCCAGCTAGAGGTGCTGCTTATTTGCAATTACTGCTGATAATGTTGCTTACTGCATTACTGCATTGAAATGCTCTGATTAGCTTTATATCAACCCCTTGAGGACTGATTACCTGCACCAGTACATAAGAGCGCACGCTGAGTACATTCACCGGGGTCACACTTTTGTACCAGTTGTGCTAGGTGTTGTCATATGCGTTAATGTACTTGCGTGGACCATGTTTCTGACTTACCTCTTCTTCCATCTTCTTCACCCAGTCGCATTGAGTGGGTGTGGCTCCATTGGGGCGAGTACCTGAAGGCCTATGAGGAGTTTGAGCTGTGGCTGACAAGGCAGCAGCGCAGTCTGGATGTTGGGGTGGAGCTGCAGCTGGGGGTGAAGGAGAAGCTTTGGCAGGTGGACCAGCAGAGGGTAGTGGTGAGCGACATCCACGGCCAGGCGGCATTGCTGGAGAGGCTGCTGGACGAGGCTGCTGCACTGTACAACAGAACCCAGGACCCCAGTGTGGAGCCCCAGGCTCAGGAGAGGCTGCAGGAGGCCTACAACGATGTCCGTGACAGAGCTGAGGTGAGGTGCTCAACAGCAGCAAACTTAAGAGCCAAGATGATGAACATAATGCTGAAGCTGCTGTATCAATATAAGAATAGTGTAATTGTGTTTGTGTGTGTGTGTGTGTGTGTGTGTTTGTGTGTGTGTGTGTATGTATGTATGTATGTGTGTGTGTGTTTGTGTGTGTGTGTGTGTGGTAAGGTGTGCATAGTGCAATGGCCAGATAAACCTCTGAAAGAGCCTCAGAGCACCTATCTCTGGTTCTGTTACAGTGTGCATTCTGCACAGTATGTGCTGTATCCCATCCCCAGAGACCAACCATTACTCCTTTGCTGAAATACTACTTAGTCCCAGATTAATTGGATTAAACACAATTTAAATGAGGAGAATGCACCACGTGAGCACAAAATAAGATGATAAAGATTGATTTTTTCTGTCATCCATGGTTTTTCCATGTTATACTTAACTGCACAGGAGCAGATGACTTACCATGTAATGTCAGTATGGTCCACTGAAACTACAGAGGGCTGCTGTAGCTGTACTGCCGTTACAGGCTGCTACTGCTACTGCTGTAGGCTACCCATGTTGCCAGCCAATAGGGTCCGACTGCCAGACACGCTCTGACAGGGACAGCTTGCCTACATGCCGTGACAGCATTGTCGTGAGGTGCTGACAGAGGTATTGGAATGTAGCCCTGGACATCCTAAAGTTTGGAGGAACTGTTTGCACATTTCAGCCCCACCAGTCCTGACTCCTCTCCCAGCAGCACCCACACCTCTCTCTCCACAGAACTACCATCAGTAGCTGCTAATAGAGCTAGGGGTGTCCCGATCCAGCTTTTTCACTTCCGATCCGATACCGATATTACAGCCTTGAGTTTTGGCCGATACCAATACCAATCCGATCCAAGCGCGTATTATACATATTCACTTATTTTGTTGTCAGTCATGTTAGAAAAGGTCTGAAAAAGCGATATACAACTACTTAATCGGGTTAGTTAGAATGATCCACAACAGTTGGTATGAGAAACTGACCTGTTTATTGTTAACAGGGTTAAATAAACAAACTTTAAACTTGAACATTAACATTAAATAAAAAATATAGCTGGTTTGCTTTGGCTGCTTTGGCCCCTTAATAAATAGAAAATAAATCAACACAAGAAATCTTTAAAATGTCTAACATTGAAATTAAAATAGCAGCAAGACTCCACACACTTGTGCTTTGGCCCCCTAATAAATAAAAAATAGATTAACACCACAAGACATTGTTGACATGTTGACAAACAATGCAGCAGTTGACAAACAATGCAGCCTTTCCTTTTCAGTTATTTTAGTAGTGTCAGTGCCAGCCTGGTGCTGCTGTTTCCTGTGTGTCTGCATTCTGGCCTGGTGGATTGATAGTAAGTGCTGGAGCGGATCACTGGAATGAACTGCTTGAATCGCGGAGCGCTGGGCTGGCCGGAAAACCTGGATCGGACTCAATGAAAAACTGGATCGGCGTTCTGGATCTGCATTTTTCCATGGAGTCCGATCCAATGCCGATGCACGTTTTTTGCTAATATCGGAGGCTGATACTGATCCGAATATCGGATCGGGACATCCCTAAATAGAGCTAGTGGATCGAAAGCCCATTTACCCCAAAAAATGGGTGTTTGATATAAAGGGCCATTTCTCCAAAAATACGGTACACACACTTCCAAACAGAAGCAAATTGGCTAATTATTATGCAGAATTATGTAATCAGACCTTCCTACTTTGGTGAAGTCACGCTCCGCCCTACTCTGTCTCTGACTGGCCTTCCTTGCCATAGTCAAAGGTCTGATGACATCTTTCTGCATAATAATTAGCCAACTTCTTCTGTTTGGGAGAGTGCCGTTGCAGAAATGGCCATTCAGACAACGGTCCCTCAGGCAACGGGCAGTCCCCTTCTCAACATGTGTTGTGTTGTCATCTGACCTCCGCAGCAAATCATTCAGGAGATGAAGCTTATGTCTCTGTGTCAATACTTTTTTCCCCAAATGCCTGTCAAGCAAATGTGACAGTTTTGTTTTTCATTCCAAAGTGCATTTGTGTGACGTTATTGGTTACATATGAGGCGTTTCAGGGCAGGGATTTGTTCACACTGATGTCAGGTATTTGTCACTTCAAACATGAATGTGAACAGTCTAGGCAGAAAAATCGGATTTGACATAATAATCAGAACTGAGCATTAGCCACCATGTCCCGAGCCCTAGGGTCACTTCTGTGTCTCAGGTTCCTATACAAAGTTGCAGTCAACCAAATTAAATGCAGTTAACTGACATGCAGTAAACCTGGTACATTTGGGGCCCCTGAGAAGACTGGGGCAGTGGCTTTAGAGTATAACGCTGTTGTAGGGACTGCACAGTGTATCCACAGTAAGTCTGTCTAAGCTAGAAAAAAACAACAACAGATATTTATGAAGTTACTTCTTTTGTTTTAATGTTTTATTGTGTGTGCCATTTCACAATGCTTTTTGTATATAGTGCCATGCAAACTGAACTGAAGTAGTTATGAGTCATATACTGTGGTTTGTGTTTATGCATTTCAGTAATCAAGGTCTTGCGCAGAGCCTTGCACCCAGTCTGTTTGACAGCTCTGCTTATGCTAATTCAAAGGACTTGTAGTCCATGGGCTTCTGGTTTTCGTGAAAATGCGCACAAGTCAGCTGGCAGAATGTGAAGTGAATAATAGTTCCATATTAATACTGTGCACATAAGCAGGGAAGACAGGTAAGTGAATAAACTAAACCAAACTTGTAGAGAGAAAATGAAAGTGAACCATGCAGTGAGAGCCTGTTAATCCTCTGAGGAAAACAAAAGAGAATTGCTCTATTTGAATGTGGAAACAGTGTCTTTGGAGCAGGAAGCGCAGAGCTTGAGAAACACTTGCAGTTGCAAGTGCTGGTGGCTTGAAATGTAGACTATCATTTTGTTACACTCTCATTCTTTACTTCCCAACCACCACAAACACACACACATGCACAAACATAATCAGTACATAATGACCCTTTTTTCATTACAGTGGGCTGATTTGGCTGTACATGGTTTGGCTGAGCTGGCTAGCCCGGCGCTGCAGAGCTTTGCATTTCCATTACAACGGGGCTACCCACCTGAAGGTGTGTCTTTCACTGATGACATCTTGTCATGAGTGATGATGAGTGATGACGCTTAAAAGCAGTGGGTTTATCCATGGCCAAAGTCCCCTGTTATTTTTGATGCATGTGTTTTCCATAGAACAGCAGGGCAGGTAAAAGATGTTTACGGAGGTGAGCTGTTTGCAGAGGTGCAGTAAGAGTCTGTTGTCTGCAGCTCTTCATCAACATCTCACTGTAGCTGTTTCTGCTTTTACTCTTCCTCCCTGCGGTATTCTATTATTTTTTATGTACAGTACAGGCCAAAAGTTTGGACACACCTTCTCATTCAATGCGTTTTCTTTATTTTCATGACTATTTACATTGTAGATTCTCACTGAAGGCATCAAAACTATGAATGAACACATGTGGAGTTATGTACTTAACAAAAAAAGGTGAAATAACTGAAAACATGTTTTATATTCTAGTTTCTTCAAAATAGTCACCCTTTGCTCTGATTACTGCTTTGCACACTCTTGGCATTCTCTCGATGAGCTTCAAGAGGTAGTCACCTGAAATGCTTTTCCAACAGTCTTGAAGGAGTTCCCAGAGGTGTTTAGCACTTGTTGGCCCCTCTGCCTTCACTCTGCGATCCAGCTCACCCCAAACCATCTCGATTGGGTTCAGGTCCGGTGACTGTGGAGGCCAGGTCATCTGCCGCAGCACTCCATCACTCTCCTTCTTGGTCAAATAGCCCTTACACAGCCTGGAGGTGTGTTTGGGGTCATTGTCCTGTTGAAAAATAAATGATCGTCCAACTAAACGCAAACCGGATGGGATGGCATGTCGCTGCAGGATGCTGTGGTAGCCATGCTGGTTCAGTGTGCCTTCAATTTTGAATAAATCCCCAACAGTGTCACCAGCAAAACACCCCCACACCATCACACCTCCTCCTCCATGCTTCACAGTGGGAACCAGGCATGTGGAATCCATCCGTTCACCTTTTCTGCGTCTCACAAAGACATGGCGGTTGGAACCAAAGATCTCAAATTTGGACTCATCAGACCAAAGCACAGATTTCCACTGGTCTAATGTCCATTCCTTGTGTTTCTTGGCCCAAACAAATCTCTTCTGCTTGTTGCCTCTCCTTAGCAGTGGTTTCCTAGCAGCTATTTGACCATGAAGGCCTGATTCACGCAGTCTCCTCTTAACAGTTGTTCTAGAGATGGGTCTGCTGCTAGAACTCTGTGTGGCATTCATCTGGTCTCTGATCTGAGCTGCTGTTAACTTGCGATTTCTGAGGCTGGTGACTCGGATGAACTTATCCTCAGAAGCAGAGGTGACTCTTGGTCTTCCTTTCCTGGGTCGGTCCTCATGTGTGCCAGTTTCGCTGTAGCGCTTGATGGTCTTTGCGACTCCACTTGGGGACACATTTAAAGTTTTTGCAATTTTCCGGACTGACTGACCTTCATTTCTTAAAGTAATGATGGCCACTCGTTTTTCTTTAGTTAGCTGATTGGTTCTTGCCATAATATGAATTTTAACAGTTGTCCAATAGGGCTGTCGGCTGTGTATTAACCTGACTTCTGCACAACACAACTGATGGTCCCAACCCCATTGATAAAGCAAGAAATTCCACTAATTAACCCTGATAAGGCACACCTGTGAAGTGGAAACCATTTCAGGTGACTACCTCTTGAAGCTCATGGAGAGAATGCCAAGAGTGTGCAAAGCAGTAATCAGAGCAAAGGGTGGCTGTTTTGAAGAAACTAGAATATAAAACATGTTTTCAGTTATTTCACTTTTTTTTGTTAAGTACATAACTCCACATGTGTTCATTCATAGTTTTGATGCCTTCAGTGAGAATCTACAATGTAAATAGTCATGAAAATAAAGAAAACGCATTGAATGAGAAGGTGTGTCCAAACTTTTGGCCTGTACTGTACTTGTGGGCTGGTGGCCCGGAGAAGGTCTATTTCTAGTATAGCTTGGTGTGGCATGGCGTGCCTGAACTGATTATAGAAAAACAAATTGGTGCAGCTTAGCTTGACTCTACACTGCCAAAAGTGGTAATAGAAAAAGGGTAATTGTAAACTATTAAAGAATGGTTTTGGAGTTGGGTGGATTTTTGTTTTTTCCAGTCTAGTTTGGTTCACGAGCTTAAACCGGTTTGATTTTGTGCAAATTGGATAAACCAGCAATGTGTGCATACAATGTCACGGTGCTAAATCCAGCTAACATTGCATTAGTAATAGCAGTATGACAACGTGATGAACATAATATTATTTTTGTAAATGGACCATCAACCAGAGCCTCAAGGCACAGCCTGTGCACAATTTACTGCTGAGCTTTGGCTGGCAACATGAAAGTCAAAATCCAGTAGAGGTGGGAGGAGGGAGAGTGGCACATGCTGTGTTTGTTTACTAGCAAGTTCATGTGGGTTTTTTTTTTTTTTTTGGGTGACAAGATGAGAGTTAGTCTCTTAAGGAAACTCAAACTGTGCCAATATGGTACGTTGTGGATTTGAAGCTGCTGTTAGGTGTCCTAACTGGCTGCAGCAGACTGCTCGAGCTGAACTTTTGTATGACTCCCTGTTTCTATTTTTCCTTTTGTTTGCTTTGCAAGTGCCGCAAGTGGAGAGCAATGGCTGATTCGTGAAATGGAAATGAGGAATTATCTACACAATACCTCCTTATTTCACTAAAGAAACCAAAATAAGGTGGCAGCTGGCTGGAGGGATCGCCAGGGATCTGAAAGTTTCCTGTAAATAACCATCTCTGTTAACAACTTGTTGCTGGCTCGGCTGTATGTAATTTCCAGGAAACATCATGATATAAAATGTGTGTTTCCTGTTTAAAAGGTACTGCACCAACAGCTGATGCTGCTGTTTTAAAAAAAAAAACAACAACATGAAAAATAACTGAGTGTTTTTGCTGGCTAGCAAAACATCACGGTGCAGACTATTTCCTGGAGTTTGCCAGCCTTTCGCTCATGTGGCATTTGAGGAGAATTGTAAGCACGACCGTTCTCACCTTTCAAGTCTGAAAGTCCACTATGAACATTTTCGTCACATCTCGTCAAAACAAAAGGAACATAGATTTTATCTTAGTTTTTATTATCAAGGTCTATTTTTAGCTTGTCAGTGTGTCGTTTACGTCATGGAAAAAAGGTAATTGACGAAAAAGTTAGTTATAGTTTTCGTCAGTGAAATTAAGACTGGAACAGAGATTGCTGATTTTATGCGATGAGACGGGATAGTCAGACGTTTGCTTGCTGTTAGGACATAATGTCATCATTTTCCACTCGTGGGCAGCCATTTAGTGAAGTGCAACACCTTGTGGTAAAATCTGGTATCCCAGTGCAGTGTTTGGCTTGGTAATAAACCAGTTTGGCTGAAAGGCTGAAATGTTTTCACACCACACCAGGCTGTGTCTCTGGTTGGCTGTGTGTGTTTGTGTGTGTTGGTGGGATTTGTATCATTTGATGTGGAGTGGCATGTTTAAAAGTCAAAATACAGCATGTGCTCACAAATCAATGAGCCCTTAATTTACATTAACATAATGCATTTTAGACTTGAACTTTACTCTTTCTATGAGCAAATCCCTTACTTGCACACAACTGTACACATCTGATGTTAATGAAAAACATGCTGATATTCATTCTGTGCATCTATGATCAAATCCAGACACTGCAAAGGGAGACAACAGTTAAGTGTTTACTGTAATTCAGATGGGAATGATTTACATTCAGAGGAGAGATACTGTTGGATTAGTCAACATTAACAAATACACGCCGGCTGCTTTCCTTGTACGTGAGCTGCACAATGGCACAGCTCTTCCTCTTCTCTATTCAGACAGCTCTTTTACGTAAATGTCAGTCAGATTTTACCACACACTCACATCAGTCCTTATACATCATGCATTCACATGGACACTCCAATCCATTGGCAAAGCTGTACTTTTGACTCCCATTGGGAGAATGGTGATTTAAATAATGCACTGTTTTTCTGGGATAATATTTCCTGGAAGCACCTCCTACCTGTGAACTGGCTCTTTCTGGTAGTCTCTGTGTTCTCTAAAATTTCAGCGTGCTCTCAAGAATCTTGTAGTTGAAGTAAAAGACAACAGCTCTCAGTCTCACATGAGAATACAAATTCACATTCAGGCTCCTCACTCAGATACCCAAATGTGAAGTCTGTGATGTGTGCTGAAGTATCTTCGTTCATTTTGAACAGCCTGATGCATAAATTTCTCCTGCTGTGATAGGAGCGCCTGTCGCTGCTTCAGAAGATCGCTGAGGAGCACCAGACGTACCAAGGATGCGTTCAAAAGTTCCAGTCCTGGCTGCTGTCAAAAACCAAGGAGCTGACTGATCTGATGGAGAGGGAGGATACAGCTGAGAACAAGCTCAAAGCCTTACAAGTGAGACTTACTGAAGCTGAATTAGGAAGCTGCTGTTTGTTATTTTCAGCAGTGGAAAAGGGAGAATATTCTATTTGCGGTTTGAATTAATGTTCTCAGCTGTTTACCATGTATTTTTGCACTAAAAGTATCAACCAAATGAGAAGTTATAATAAGAATCATTATGGTGACTAGTGCCTGCAGCAAGGCATCAAAACAGCATAAATGGATGGATACAGTAGAGTGGTGCAGGGATGAAAGTTTTCTTAGGCCGATCTAGCTGTAAACATAGTCCTGGTTCCTTCAACAAAAAGCCAATTGGAATTTTTCAATTGGATTTTGGATTGTTGCAGAAAATAAGCGTTAAGACATATTTTATGTCTGAACCTCACCAATCCCGACCTCTAAATCCAAGGTGGCTGCTCTACACCTCAACAGTAGTGAAAACTTTAGTAATAATCTGTTTATTAGCACTTCTGTCTTATTCATATCTCATTAAAACAGTCACACACACAGTACTGTCCAACTTCTATCTGTGAACATGTTGCTACAGTGTTTGTATGCACAAAATACGGCATGATATGTTGTTATCAGCTGGTATCGCTAACAGTGCTAACCTGGCTAGAACTGCTATTGTTAACAACATATTGGTTTGCCAACTTGTTGTACCGGAGAGTGGTCAGCTGGGGTGTTACGTCATTCCAACTTCCGAGGTAAGGGACGCAAGATAAACCACAGACCTTATTTGCGGTATCTAACCAAAAACCGATTGATATTGAGATGAAAGAACAGGAAGTGCAAATATGCTAACTCATCTCTGGATTTTAGGACTCATTCCTGTAGCATTAGTGTTGACAGCAGAACTTGTTAGGACACAAAGGAATGAAAAGCATATATAACACTACAGTACTCAAAATATGAATCCGAAATCTGTCGAATCCCACTGCAAAGCTCAGGTGATTTATATCTTTTTTTGAGTGTGATATTACCAACTGCTATGGAGTCTGGAGTGTGCCATCAGCAAAATAATACACCTCCACCTAAAATCATTGATATACTAACCACCTAAGAAATTTCTTGAATTAAAAAAGAACACAATAAATAACATAATTAATATTAAGATCATATTTAAATAATGCATTTAAAAGATCATTAAAACAAGGCTTGTGGGTGGCACAGTGCTTGCACAGTAAAGAGAGCGTAAGTTAAAGCAAATTTGGAACTGTTAAGGTTAACATATGACTTTAAAAAAAAAAAAAAAAAGTTTTTCGAGTTTTTCAGGAGTATCTAGCGACGAGGTGAATATTTATTTAGGAATCTAAACCATGTTACGATATGTTATAGCTTACCAGTGAGATATAGGTTATCTGTGAGATATATGTTAGGAGTGTTTTATTTCTAATTGTTTTGGTAACACGAGCAAACATTAGCACAGTGATGCCAAAATAACACATTTTATGTGATAGTCATGGCTCAGTGCGGCAAATATAGGTTGGTATGATTATAATATATGCGTTTCCAGAGTGTTCTTCCACAGGACACAGGGAGATGAGGAAGAGGGAGAGGGAGAGGATGAAGACCAGGGAGAGGAAGGGGGTGAGGGGGTAGAGGCGGTGCAGGAACGGCCAGGCAAAGAGGTGTGTCTCGGCTACCCAGAGGAAAGAGGAGGAGGAGGAGAGGGCGGCAGCCTTCGCAGCAGCGTGAGAGGAATCAACAGATTAGGCTGTAGGCTAGGCTCACCATTTAGCTGTAGCTATGGGATAACGTTAGCCAAGGCGAGGATAATGTTAGCACATAAACGTAGCCGTCACTCGAACTTAGACGAGTCATAAAGCCAAAATGATTTTAAAATATCAGATTGAATTACCTGTCTAGCAGAAAGCAGGCAACCTCCGCATCCCTTGTGAAATCCTTCTCCTTCAGGAGTTCTTTCCACCTGGAATAACCAATGCTGATATTTAGTCGCGCAAAACGTGTGTGGTCCTCCACTTAAAGTGCGACAGAATCATAAAAGTACAAAGCAGGTTCACGCAGAAGCGCCCCGGATTGATCTTCACCTTAACTGTCTCCAGCGACGGCAAGTTCTAGGTAAACGCGAAAGGCGAAGCGCATATATCACTTTCGGCCACTGTATTCAAATATGGCAACACAATTACACATTGTAACTTTAACATTAATTTTTCCATTTGATGTATTTTTCCAAAGTTAGCTTTAAGCTAACAATTTTAAATGTAGAAATGCTATTTTCAAAATAATTTTAAAATGTTGCAATTTACATTAATTACTGACTTTGGAAATAGTTGTACCTCTGGAAGATCCCATTGTCTAGTTGCATAAGCCTCTAAGGTTGTGGCAGACTTTTGATTTGATACGTGCAAGATGTGCTGAGCTTTATTAATGGCAACTTAACCATGCTTAAAAAAAGCTGAAGCATTTGTAATTAATTAATAAATTAAGCAGTATTCGTGTTCGAAAATAGAAGGTGAGTGCAGCAGAGTGGTGAGTATCACATGACTCTTGTTGTGCTCAGGCAATTCACACAAGCCATGTTTCCATCAGCCTGTTTAGATGTGCATCTAGAAGTATCGCATTGGAAAATTATGATGGAAACGCCAAAATTCGAATTAAAATCCCCTGATTCGCACAAACTAAAATACGCTCGCTTTAGCCAGGTTTTGGTTGATTTGAAAAAATGTTGATTTTCAAAATGGGGGATGGAAACAGTTATGTTTGAATTAAGTCTGACGTAGCGCACTTCTCTCCATGGTGATATCCACACTCCGGGATGGGAAGGCGGTAATGCATTTACAAGCTGGTTGCCAACCGCCAGAAAATGTAGAAGAAGAAGAATGCGAGACTTGTTTTGTTTCCAGTTCTGCAGAAAACTCGTGCGTAGTTTTCACCAAAGTCCGTACATTTAATGGAAACACACAGGATCTGTATTTCTTTAAATGCGCATTTCCCAATGATTCGAATCACTTTTGGATGGAAACATAGCTAATGGCACGCTCCCTCAAAACTTGAGATAACTGTGTTGTTGTGTTGTGTGATTGAACTGCACATTTTAGAGTGTCCCTTTACTGTGACCATCCAAGGGCACACCTGTGTAGTAATGATGCTGTTTAATCAACACCTTGATATGCCACACCTGTCAAGTGGATGGCTTTTCCTGGAAAAGGAGAAGTGCTGACTGACATGTGTTTTAACAAATGTGTGTCCAAAATTTGAGAGAAACATTTCTACTGAGTGCATGAAATAGGTCTTAGATCTTCAATTTAAACCTGTTAAAAAGGGGAACATAAACAAAAGTGTTGCATTAAAATTTTTGTTCATTATACTTATAATTTGGAACCAAGCTGTAATCTTCAAGCCAACACATTGAAATATTGCTTCTTCTGCCGCTGCATCAGGCTCTGGACGATAGCGTGGCTGGCGAGGAGAAGACCCTGCAGCATATCGAGGGAGCAGCAGAGGCGGTGAGGGCCAACACTTCTCCTGCTGGGGCAGAGGTGGTGGTGGAAGAGGCTGAGGAGCTGAGGCTCGGCTGGCAGAGGCTGAGGCAGGGCCTGTGTGAGGCTGATGAGGGTCTGCGCTCCAGCCTGGACTCCCACAGTCAGTACATGGCCAGATGCCAGCGGCTGGGAGAAGACATCAGCCATCTCAGGGTGCTGCTTCAGGGGCTGGACCACGAACTGGAGGAAGGACGCGGGGCTAAGGAGCGCACTGACCGGACCGAGGAGCAGATGGTGGGCCAGTGGAGGAAATACACAGTAGGTTTTCGAAACATACTGGCAGTATTTTAAGGTTTAGTGGGAATGTGGTCTCGCTGCAGGAAATGTATTGTGTCATATGTATTATTGGCTACTCAAGTGAAGTACCTTTGAACCTGGGAAGTATTTCTGGCATGTAATTCTCACAAAGTTGTGGATATATGTACAAAAAATATGACTTATACCGAGTGTGTGTGGTATTTCTGTTTAAACCACGCAAAATCCAAGATGGGACGGAGACAGAGAGCTGTTGGCTGTTAGGTACAACAGGACAAAACGCCGCCCTTCTTGCTAGGGTTGGGTGATTTGATCATATTTACTCTGAGACAATCAGCGGGTTTAAATGTCTGGGCTTTAAACATTTTTCTGTGTACATGCACTGCTTCATATAACTTTTAATACTATATGCACCAGATTTATATGCCTCCGCAGCTGTAGCCAGAAGTATTATGTTTATGGGATGTCTGTCCATCCGTCTGTATATACATACACACATGCATCTGTCCGTCCATCCGTCTGTCCGTCCCATTCTCATAAACACTGAGAGCATTTCTTCAAATTAGGCACACATGTCCACTGGGACTAAAAGGATCAATATTGGTGGTTGAAGGTCAAGTTTACTGTGACCTTGCAGCCTTCTCATTCGTGTGAACAGGACATCTCAAGAATACCTTGAGGGAATTTGTACAAATTAGACAACTTTTAGACAAAAATGAACTGATTGGAATTTGGTGGTCAAAGGCCAAGGTCACTGTGACCTTGTATCTGTCTCATTCTTGTCAAGGTGATATCTTAAATATACCTTTAGGGAATTTCTTTAACTTTGGCACAAACATCCAAGAATAAACCGATTAGAATGTGGTGGTCAAAGGTCACTGTGACCTTGCAGTCATCTCATTTTGTGAAGGCAATATCTAAAGAGGGCGTTGGGGGAATTTTTATCAAATTTGGCACAAAAGCCCACTTGGACTCAAGAATGAACTGATAAGAATTTGATGGTCAAAGGTCAAAATCACTGTGAACTCACAAAACATGTTTTTGGCCATAACTAAGGAATTCATATGCCAAGTATGACAAGGTTTCACACAAATGTCTTATATAATAAAATGATGACATTATGTGTCCAAGGTCAATTATTCTGTGCCATCGTAATGTTCTGCAGAAACACTTTTCTGGCTATTAATTAGCGTCATATCTCAGGAACAGAGGGGGAGACATTTGGTCAGATGTCAATTGGTGACTCAGGTCTTGGGTGTCCACCTTGAAACTGAGTGTATAGATCTTCTGTGCTGCCCGGGGAAGATGTGTGGAAGCATTCATGTTTTCACAGACATGGATTTAAACTGTAACTGCAACTTGATGGATACACAGAGGCCTGCAGTTGCATGGCAGTAATTTTTTTTTTCCCTGCCCTATATGGTGTATTTGTCCTTCTCTCTTGGCATTTCTGCCACAACCTTGGCTGGATCTAACAGAAGAAAGAATTTCAGCATTGAATGCAGCAACATTTTGTTTAAGGCAGTTCAAATATGAAGAAATCATCAGTTTGCTCTAATGTAATTTGCATTGACCTTCCCCATTACTTTTCTCAAACACTGTACAGTAAAACAGCTTTCACATGGTCATAGTCAGGGTCATCTGACATTATACATTCAGCAAACCTCTCAAGAAAAACATTTATTCATTTAATTTTCCGTGTGTTACAACATCATTTGAGCTGACTGTCCCTGTACAGTAATGTGAAGTGAAAGGTGAAAGAACTTTATATTTGATATGGCCATAGAATAATTTTGAGCAGAAATCCATTGTGCTTCTCAGCACACCTATTATGGAAACTGTTCTATGGTATTAGCACTTGCACATGCTGATGTCACAAATTAACGAGGTATTATTTAATATTGCTGTAATGCTAGTCTTTCTTTGTCCTTTTGGGCAGCTTTAAGTACCACTGCCTTAGCAGCATGAATAGATCGTGTAGCCGTTGGGCTGTGATGCTCTGTCCTTTCTGGGTTTTTTTTTCTGTTATAAGAGTTGGCAGCCCTGCACAACATATTTTCTTTACCAAGTTGCGTGTACCGATGCATGTAGGGGGGCTAGGCATCAGCATACTTGTGAGTGCAGGAGGGAGTGTGTTGGTGGAGGAGCTCAGACAGGTAACATATATAATGTTCAAAAACTCAAAAAGTCACAGGTGAGGTAGTTATATGTCCTAAGTACAGTAATGTGTGTGTGTGTGTGTATGATATGTGTCTTAAAACAATCAAACTATCTAAGCCTACAAAACCATGCCTTTTGATGTCATTTACAAGGTGCCATTTGTTTAATCGTGGTATGCAGGCAAGCTGTAACCATAGTAACAACAATAGCGTGTCTACATGACTGTGATTCGGCTGCCCTCACAAAGTGTGGTGTTTGTATTGCAATACAAATTCTGAACTTCTTAAATCGTACCCCTGATAAAACACCACCCCATAATTTAATTTAAAAAAAACTAATACTGAAACTGATACCAATAAGAATTAAACTGAAACTTAACATGTTTAAACAATGAAAACTAAATAACTAAATAAACTTAATTAAAAAAAATGAGATGAATGTGAGCGTGAATGGTTGTCTGTCTTTATGTGTTAACCGCATGATAGTCTGGCGACCTGTCCAGAGTGTAAGCGGTCACGCAGAATGAATGAATGATAAACAGACATGCTAGTCTGTTTATATTATCCATGAACAAGTTGGTATAGTAAAGTCAAAACTTTGTCATCATTAAGTCCATTTTCAGCTGCCAAATTCAATATTTGACAGTTTTTGATTCTTACTGCTATGGACACAGTTTGAGTTTTGACGTTTGATAGCCAGCTATACTTTTGAATCTTTGAATCTCTTCTCCTTTCTGGCACACCAAAATATTTGCAATCCATCTGTCCTCCCCTATTTCTTCTCTCTTTCTTGCTATTATCCATTGTTCTTTGTGGTTGCATCCATTCAATTTGTATTTCTTTTTCTCATTGTCCTTTTGATGCCTTCATTCAATACCTTTCCTCCTTACATAAACATCAGTCCTCCTCTAGTCCCTCTTAGAGATGATAGAATCGTACATGTTCTGACATGATGACTCTTGACTGGATTCATTTTCTCCATCACAGTTTATGTTACCACCTATCTCACATGCCTGGCATGCTGGAAACAACATTTTGCAGCCCTGCCAGTGAAGCTCAGTTATCACTTCAGTGGATCCACTGAATGCCTCAGAGAGGTGTGGTGGAGTCACAGTCAGATTATTGTTTCTGTCTGGGTCTCCACACTGAGACATATGTTCAGACATTTGTTTTTCTACTAATATACTGCTGGTTGTGGATTGATAGGACGAACTGTGTAGTAGAAAAGTGAGAATAAACGTGACAAGCTTTGCCACTACAGAATTAACTTCCATATGTTTTTATATACATTTTTGCAGCATGTGGCAGATAAAGGGCACAATCAGCAGGAGACAGAATTCACAGTTCACAGAGAATCTTCCAGAGAAAGAGTTTTGTACCTGTGGACCTGTGGAGCCGCTTCTGTTGGGTGTGACTGGAATGCTAAATGATCTGTTGGACTCATCTGTCTGTCATCTGCTACAATCTAGACAGGCTGTCACCTCACTGTGACACAGCCTGTTTTTACTTTTAGTAGAAGTGAAATGGATTGTAAACAACTGCAGTTTGTAGAAATTGCAAATATTTGATTGAAGCCAAAATATTTTACCACTGAGAATTTGCATAAACAGATAATGGAAAGAAATGCCAAACAACAGAAGAACATGCTCTGATAATGGCTCTAACCTTAAAGAAAATACCATTGTGTGCTCTTATTAAATAAATGTGTTTAATAATTCATGAGAGCACATGTTGCTGGGAAGAAGGCTTTCTAAACTGTGTGGCCTCAGTAAAAACAAGAATTTCTGCATTGAATGTTGGATATATATTTTGGTTATGCCATATATCAGATCTGAAAATGGCTTTCCACTGCCAGTCCCCATCCAGCCTGACAGAGTTTGGGATGATCTGCAGAGATGAATGACCCCAATCCAGGTGTGCAGAGCTTGTTGTGTCATACCTAAGTTAGTCTCATTCAGCGGCTATGGACTGTGGCGACAGCCTGCCAGTGGGGCACTGATTTCGGAAGGCATTCTCTTTCCTTTTCAAATCCCCTTCTCTATGGGAATCAACAACATCTTAGTTAATCAATCAATCAATCAATCAATCAATTTTATTTATAAAGCCCAATATCACAAATCACAATTTGCCTCACAGGGCTTTACAGCATACAACATCCCTCTGTCCTTTGGACCCTCATCCTAACATCTTACATGCTGAAAATGGCAAGTTTTGACAAAGATTTGGATCATGCATTAAGGCATACCTGCTTTGGTCTTTCAATGAATAGTTCTAAAGATCTTCAACCAATAAAACAACTTTTGAATGCACCTCAGAAAAGCCCAGACCCCGTCTGACAGGACTCTCATGCCCAATATTGATCGGTTTTGTGGAACGGCCTGTACTATGAAGCCAGTCCAACTTAACCAGGATATCTTCTCACCGTCTGGTTTGACTAACCTGTCACATTGGCCGTCTGGATAACTGGTACTGAAAAGCTGGTTATCAACTAGTTCAGTCAGCTCTGGATTTTCCTATCCAGCCACGAGCGCGTTCATGTAAAAGAGTTGTTAATTGCAAACGTCATCAAAACCATGAATGAAGGAGGCTGCTTCATATGATATGAGATGAAACTGTAATGACAGTAGTTTGTAGACAAGACAGCAACATGTCAGTGGCATGGGATTTTAACGACAAACAATAATTTTAATACGGAAGATCTAGAAACACTGAAAATACTATCCACATATTCACCGTCTTCTGAGACTTAAACTCAGTGCAGGTGTCAGTGAGCTATGGGCCTATGTGAGAGTATTTTTTGCTGTTTAGTTGGATGTTGATAATACTATTCTGAGTATGTCACATAAAACTCCTTAAAATAACACCACACTGTTTTTGCTGCTGAAGTAAAGAATGGAAAGGTAGTTAATGACCAATGAGGTCTATGTGACCAAAATGTTACATTTATAACAAGAGCCAATTAACAGTGTGTGGATTATTTTAATAATAAAATAATATCTATTTTATCCTAGTTCTCATCACACAGGTGCCTCATGTTATTTTGAGCTGCAGTGATGGAATCAGATTGTAAAAGTAGCAGCACTATCACTGCGGACTAAAGTAAACTTAATAATTTCAAATCCTGCTAAAATCATGTGTTTAGCGTGTAAACGATCTCTCCGTTTGGTAGAAGCTGTTTTAAAACCAGTGGAAAAACAGTCCTGGAAATAGCATCATATAGGATCCTCTTTTTAGCCTGTCACTTCAGACTTTCATTCATGGATTCTTTTTTCTTCAGTGATCTGATTGGTCAGATTTCGGGATGTTGACAGGTTGTGATCTGATACCCGGAAGTTAACCTGCTCGGGAACGGGTTAGCTGTTCAGCATCAGTTACAACGGTGATTTATCCCAGTAAAAAGAGAACAAGCTTCGTAGTACTGAAAACCCAGAGTTAACCCTGAAGTTACCTCTCTAACTTCAAATCCTGCTTCGTAGAACAGGCTTCTGATTTGCCACATCTTTTAACTGCGGCAATAGCATGTGCCAGTGACATTGACTTCACCAACCCAGCTGACCACCAGCGTTGTCAGATGTTAATATTTGGTTGAATTTAGGTTGTCATGTCAGGTAACTAAAATTCGATGTCAGGGCAACGTCTAATGTCAACATTAATTTTACGTAGAATACTGACCACAGATGATGTTGATATTTAGTTGGTTTTAAGTTGTAATGGTAAATTACTGAAATCCAATGGCACCATGGCAGTGGTTGGTTGGCATTCATGAACACACACACATGCCTATGATCAAATCCAAGTTTCCCACAGCCTTCTTCAATCCAGTGTAGGTTTTAATCTGCTCACAGATTTACTAACAATATGTATTGTCAGATTTCTCTGAAAACAGTGCATTTATTTATTTTGGTAAAAATTCATTACCAACATACTGAGTTAGTTAGGAAGTCATGTAAGCTGTACAGGTAGAGAGATTTGTCAATGAAGTTTGTTGTGGTTTTCACATTAGTGCAGCTGTGTTTCTCAATAGTCTTTCTTCACAGATGTGTTATAGCACGACTGCAGCTGATAAAAGTAATTATGTCTGCGTTTCATTTAGTTGTGCCAGTTAGCACCCAGCCAACAATAACAGTTGGTGCTTTCTCTGTGACAAACCTGAGGCAAACTTATTCATTGATAATTATCTGCAGCTGTGTCATTTTGTCCATCGTGACAGTAGTAATGGCTGCAGACTGTTTACATGAGTCACTTCCAGGGCTTTGGTATTGTGCATGCTGGTGACTACAGACAGAGCCATCATCGCTTTCATTATTTTGCACCTGTACTGTTCTTGCTATGACTAGTCAAAATATGCACTGCAAGAAAAGTCTATTGTCTCAAAATGTAAAATACAACAAACATGGAGGAGCCGCTCAGTGCTGAAGGGAGCAGTGAGCGATGGTGCCACAGCTCCAGATAAGATAGCTCACAAAACATGGAGACATGGTAACAAAGTGTCAGTGAACACTTTCAAACCTTTTTTTGATATTTCAAATGTATTAATGTTCTAAAGTCACATTGATCGTTACACACCTTATGCATTATTTTTGTTTGCACTACATACATTTATTTTATATTAACATTTAGATTATCAAAGCTTGTGTGCTGTTAACAGCAGTACTCAGCACATTAATATTACTGTGGCACTGAAGAAGGGCTGCCACTGTGCTCTGACTAATAGGTGTGTTGTCCATATAAAGACAAGAAAGTCACACTCAGAAATGTGTTATCTAATAGGTTTACATAATCATTTGTCTGGCAATATACAATTTATTGATTTTGTTTTGTTTAACAATACGCAGTGCACTAGCGAGATGTCGAAAGAGTCAAGTATCTGGAACAGTTTCAAAATTTGCTAAGATGACCCCCAAAAAGTTGAGTTTCAGATATGACACAAGAAACTGGCATATATATATATCACAAAACTAGACTATGTAGGAGGGTGACTTTTTGACTTGTTTGGTCTGAATGATATGACTTCAACATGGCTTGTGAGTGTGTGACTCAGACGTATGTGGTAAAAATCACACGCTGTGGTTTGTTGCTGATGTGACTTCAAGCTCACTTTGCGTATGTTCCAAATGTGTATCTTGCAGGGTGTGAGGAATACTCTGGCAGGGGAGGAGTCCCAAGTGGAACTGCTCAAGGCTCAGCTCAAGGAGCTCTTCAGGTTCTCAGAGGACTCGCGCCACCTTTCTGATGATGTCCTGGCTGTTGTCAAAGAACATCAGAGGTATGTGACAGTAAGCCCACTGCTGTTTAAAAACCCAGAAAATCAAAATCTAGGATAAAACCAGTGATATTTTGCTGATTTGTAACCAGCTTTGTGTCATCACAATGAGGGTAGTAAAAAAAATACAAAGTTAATTCCATTTTACCAGCGCCCAGATCTCCCTGCTGATCTCCCAGCTCACACTCGTCATCCAGCAGATTTTGGCTGGCTCTGGGGCTGTTGCTCGAATTACAGATTGTACTTCCAGATTTTTGTATGCCAGGAACCATAGACACAGAGTATAGAAGTGGATTGAGAGATAGCCGCAACCTTGCCTCAGAAGTCTTGCGTTTCTTGAAGACGTTTCGCCTCTCATCCAAGAAGCTTCTTAAGTTCTAAATGAGTGGTACCAAGTTGCAGGCTATAAACCCTGTGTGGGTGGCTTGCAGAGTCGTATGGGTCATGTGAGCTCTTAGTTTCAGAGTCGTTAAGTGAAAACGGAGGCTGAAAAAACTGAGATTAGACAGTAAAACTAGACAGTGCTAATGAAATATAAACCAAGATTCTGTTACTGCTTCATCTGTTTTGCACCTAAGATGTTTTCAGGAACATATTTTAGCATACTGTTTAACTATAATCCAAGATCATTTGTTCCCAGCCAGCTGCCATATTGTTTCCTGATAGGATACTGGCATTATGTCACCCACCAGTGGGAGCGGTTATTGGTCCCCTGCAGCACAGTGTATTCTCATATTTCCAGTTTTTCCACCTCTTGAGCAAAAACAAATGCCAAAGCCTTTTTCCTCTGTTTTCTCTGGTCATATAGCACCAATTTCAAAAGTATTTGTGTCTTTCTGCTGCATAGACAGCCCAGGTTTATCAAAAGACAGTCTTTCCAGCAGTGACATACTTCTTTTAAGGGAATTTTTAACACCCACAGCAACAACTACCTTCAATAATAATTTGTCTGATTGTTTGTCATGGCTGTTCAATAAACTTCCTTAAATTATATCTACTCCTTATTCCTCATTAAACATCCAGAATCTATGAGTATGCAAACATTGTTAGACTGCTAGACACAAGATTCCTCCCACAAAAGTCAGTTTTCAGTGTTTGTGCACTGACATCTTTAAGGTTCCACATCCCACATAAGTGAGTAGCATATTGGACCATGATCGGCTTCCAAACTAGTTATGATGTCAAAAACCCTGCTGGTAAGTTCAGGTGTAAAACTGAGAATTTTAAAGAGCACAAAAAATGTTCCTCCTTCAGCAGGTGAGATGCAGATGAATGTGAAAACAAACTCAAACAGCACAGTAAAGAACAATAACCACAACACATTTTTACCGGAGGGGACTTTAATATTTGCATCTCAATAACAAACCACCCTCACAATCTGACGGTTTCTTAATGTTGCCTGTGACAAATGCTTCCTTTGTCAGAAGGCAGTTGCAACTAAGCATGATTTTATTTGAAATGGCAAACATTTTTTATCATTATTTATTATTATAGCTATTTTTTTTTTCTTTTTTCTTATAACAGTGTTGCTCTACTTTTTCTTAAAGGTACATTACTTTCACTGTGTCTACTTGTAAATCATTTGCAGAGCAGATTTTTTTAACCCGAATTGTTTACGATTATATCAACAAAGCTGGTTGTCTTTTTCCTCCTTACACTTTATGTTTTTTTTCTTTTAATGTGTTAGTCAGTAACTGTAAATCTGCAGAATAGTGCAAAACCATCAGCAGGATTGTGTATCTTGTAACCAGCATGCATGTGCACATGCAAGTGGAGTGAGGCACTCAGACAAAACACACACCCACTTATTAAAACATTGCTCCACAGCACTTCTGGTGGTCAAAACCTCTATGCAGTACCTTTAATTCTACAGGGCTTAATTAATCCTTTAACTGTGAGTAAACCCACACTGGAAATTAAATTTGATGACATATGATTGCCAGTAATGTATATAATATGATTTTGATTAAGCCTGAATGACATTCATCAGTCTTTTGTCTTTAAAGTCTTCCTTGTCTTGTTTGTGCTTGTATGGGCCCTGTGGTTGTGGAGATATAAACCCCGCTCTTTTGAGCCAGGGACAACCTTGTTCACAAGTTCACATCTGTCTAAATAACATGTTTCACCGCAGGAAAAAACAGCCATAAATACTGTGTAATATATAGTAAATATGGGTGTGCTGAGAGCAAAATGTCTAATTGAAGCCTTAGTGGGCAGAGTAATAGCTAACCCCGTATGAAATATTTACAGTCAATGAACAAGACTGATTTTGTGTGGATGCTGGAGACAGTCTGCTGCCATTCTAGCTGATGCCTGTCACAAGGACCTCTCCTGTCCATGCAGTGGATCTATTTTGTGTTTCTGAAGCATGAAATTCACTTGTAGAGTTAGATCGATGCCTCTGTTTGTATTGACAAATGACTTACAATAAAAATTTATCATGATACTTAAGTCATGATAAAATATTATTGCAATTTTAAATGTGTTACGATATGCTGAGTATTGTGATAACATATATTGCAATTTGTTACCTTTTTTCAACTGCTAATTATGTCCCTAAAGGAAAGCTTTGGTAACATCTAGATTATCTAGTAAGTTAAAGTTTTTAGTCTGTTCATGTCACGTCATTTTTATTGCAGCAAACTGTATCTGCTGGACTGAAAACCAGTTGGTGTTATTATTCTAGTAAGCTACCTAAAGTTTAATTTGTATTTGTAATGTTGATAATTCATATTAAAAAAAAAAATGGTACTTGGCATCTGTGCATCGATACAATATTGCCATATAAAAATATTGCGATACTATGCTGTATCGATTTTTTTCATCACCTCTCGTGGGAAGCAGGGGAGGGGCCATTGGCCCCCCACTTTATGCCCCCTGGCCAATATTCGTCGTAATTTATGGATCAGTGTATTGGCTGGAGTAACATACACAGTAACTCTGTTTTTCTTTTGTTTTAATTTTTTCTTGTAGTTGGAGAGAGAAAAAGAGAAGTAAATAGTGAGAGATGGGAACTCCGCTCTGTCTCCCCCTGTTGTTTTTTTCCGTTTGTGCTGTGAGAAAATGGAGCATGGTTACATGAATACTGTTACCAACTGTCGTTATCAAGGTCCAGGTAAAATGATTTTATGATGAGGATGTTGTCAGGCAAATTAACAAAACTACAGATGTATAATTTAAATTTGAGATGACAGAGGAAGTTAGAAGCAACAAAAGGTTGTCATATTCACGCACAGCCACAAAGCACTTGTTACCATCTAATTGAATCGGAAACATGCAGCTATGCTTGTAGGACAAGAACTATTAGCTACACAAGTCTAAACTGGAGTTATAAATGTGGCTGCTGAAGAACAAACACTCTGCTTGAGAAATGTTTCCAGTAAACATTAAATCTGCGACAGAGCCATGACACAGTCGTGACTGACCAGGTGCAGAGCCAGAAAAGGATGCAGTTACATGCTGTGTATATTCAGTGTTAATGTAAAGATTTATTTATTTATCAGTTGTTGTTATATATATATATATATATATATATATATAT